CTGCCTCCCCCCCTTTCACTTCCCTTTCTGCCCAGCGTCAGACGTGTGTGATGGCGGGGCCGGTTCCCCTCTGCTGGGTCAGGCGTCCCCAGGTTGGACCTCGCGGTGCCCCGCTGCCCCATCGAGCCAGGGCTGCCCGAGGGGCCCCGCGGGGGTCTGCAGTGCCCAGCTGTGCTGGGCCGCAGCACCCTTTGTGCCTGGCCCTCCCCCACCTGCTGGCCCACAGCCCTGCTGTGGGTGGTACAGTGAGTGGTACAGTGCTGTGGGTGCTCTCCTGCATCCATACTGCCCTGAGATCTGCTTCTCTGCCTCCTCTCCACCCTTCCTCGTGCACGCAGCCCCCTGCTAGGAGGAGCAAGGAAGGGCCCTGACTGACTTTGCATGGATGATATACTTGCCCGGGGCTTTCCTGCCCCTCGCGGCCAGTGCTTCAGCCTTGGGAAGGAGCTGGCAATGCTCTGGGCGCGGAGGCTCAGTGCACCCGCCTGCCCAGGGCCACAGCACTGTTGACAGGGGCACGGAGCAATGTGAGATCAGCATCTGTTAGGAAATCTGGGGAAACGTGGGGCCACCCTACCGGAATCACTGCCACCCCACTTCAAAGAGAGCACTGGTGGCATCAGGCAACGCAGGCGGCTCTGCTGCGGTCTGTGGTTAGCACAGGCATGGGAAGAGTGGTGCGAGGAAGCCCTCACCTCAGGACGTGGGTTAGCATGCGCGTGCTCGCAGAAGTGAGGTGGTGCCGGAGTGCTGGGGAGCGTCATGAATGCGCAGGTCTTGTTTCTTCCAGTGCTGGGAGCCCAGTGATGCCATAAGATGCTTTGATAAGCAGTATGAACACAAGGGCAGGTGCTGCAACCGGTGTCAGCCAGGTACGGAGACCCCGTCCCCTTCCTGGGGCCCCAAGGTGCACTGCCTGGCCACAGTGGAGCAAGCCCAGCTTGGTGTGACTGAGCCCCCCCCCCTTGTTGCCAGCAGTGCCAACAGCTTCACCGCCCTGTGTCACCTCAGTGCTAGAGCAACTGGGTACCTCATGGATGCTCTGGGAGACCCCCTGGACCTCACTGAATCTGCCACAGCTCTCTTGGGTCTGTGTGCTCCTGCAGCCGCAGGATCCCATGGCACGGGCAGCTTGCGGGGGGAGTGCTGCCACTGGCACTACCAGATCATGATGGTATTTGCCAGCTCCCGCTGTCACTGCCAGATCGTTTCCCAGTCCTTGGAGTGCTGGAGGCAGTGAACAGCCCCTCTGCTCTCCTGCCTTAGCACCCAGCAGCCCTCCCCACCTGGCCCCATGCAGCATGCACAGCCACCGGGCGAGCTGGCCCCTGCAGCCCTGGCTGCCGGAGCGGCATCAGGCTACCAAGCAGCATGCTGCAGCGGCCCTGGCATCCACAGCTGCCAGTGCTCCCCTGTCCTGCTGGCAGAGCTGCTGCCTGGAGAGGAGGAAAGCTCCCTTGCCCCCTCCTCACCAGCCTCTATTGCAGGGGAAAAGCTGGTCTCTGAATGCAATGGCACAGAAGACTCTGTCTGCGCCCGCTGTGAGAGCGGACACTATCAGCAGAGCTGGACCAAGGAGAGGCACTGTGCCCCCCACGATATCTGTGAAGACAGTAAGTGCTCCCTGTGCCCACTGGACCCAGCCTGCGGGGGCTGCAGGGGCTGGTGTCCCCCCAGACTCACCTGCCTGGTGCCTCACCTTGCCCATGCTCCCTTTGCCCAGATGCTGGCCTCATCGTGAAGACACAAGGAAATGCAACGCACAACACTGTGTGCCAGTGCCGGGACGGCATGCACTGCTCTGACATCAGCTGCCAGACCTGTGTGGAGAACCAGCCCTGCCAACACGGCTTTGGCTTCGTGGCAGGTGAGTCTGACCAGCTCATCCCTCTCAGCGGGACCGATGCCCTGGCAGCATTGACCTCAGGTCCTCCAGGGAAAGGGGGGGACTCCCCCAGCAAGGTGTCCCTAGCAAGGTTTTGGGAGAGCTGTGTCTGCCGCTGCACCTGGCGCAATTGCCATGGGGAGGGCTGCTCACCTGACCCCCACAGCCCCTCACCTCCTGCAGCCTGTACTGACCTTCCTGCAACCTCTGCTCCTCTCCAGCCAAGGCTGTGGCCCGGATGTCGTCCCCCTGTGAGCCCTGTGCAGAAGGCACCTTCTCCAATGTCTCTTCTAAAACCGAGCCATGCCATCCCTGGACAAGGTATTGTCCGAGTGCTGACCACATCCTTCATCCATCCCCAATTGTGCCCAGTCCCCGTGAGCATGTTCTCTGCTGCCAGCCTCCTTAGGGGCCTTGGGGACTGGGCAGAGGGTCTCTGAGAGACACAGAATCAGGCTGGCATAGGGCAGGAGCAAGAGGAGCAGAGCTATGAGGGTGGTGAGGTCCAGGGTGGCGTGGCTGAACTCGAGGCAGACATCCAGGCCCTTGTGACTGTCCCTCAGCATGTGCACAGAGTGCTGGCCCCTCCAGGGATGTCCATGCTGTCATCCGCACTGGGAGGCAAGGGATGAGGGGCTACAGGGACACCCCCCATGCCCTGTCCAGGCTCTCCATCCCAGCATGCTCCTTGGCTGTAGTCGTCAGCCAAGGCACCAGCCCTCTCCGTGGGGAGTCTGGCTTTGAGGATTCCGTGGGCTGGCAGGTCGTCCCTGTCTTTAGAAAGCTGCTTGAGGGTTAATTGCATTCCCTGGTAGAAACGTGAGCCTTATTTCCAGGCTGAATTAGTCTCGCTTCAGCTGCCAGCCATTGGATTTCACTTTGCTTTTATCTGTGCCCAGAAATTACCTCCCCACGGAGCCACTTGTAGCCTGTCATCAAGTCATCTCTGAGCTGTTCTGCAATAGCTGCCATGTCAGAGTCCCAGGGTCTCCCTGACTGGGCAGGTCTCAAATATCCACTCCCTCCTGTGCCTTGTCCCCAAACTTGTACCCATCTTCAGCAGTTTCAGCAACTCCAGACCAGGACCCTGGGGTTGGGCCCTGCTATGTACCTGCTGTCCCCGTCACACAGCAGAGGCCCTGGCGTCGGCTGGGAGCCCCTGGCCACTTGCCCCTCCAGAGCCCAGCAGGCTCAGCACAGGACACTGTCTCGTGCAGCTCAGATGGCTGCCCAGCCCTGGCCATTCCTCCTCAGGGGCTTTCCGCATGCTCAGGTTGCTGCTGTGGTTACATGGTCTCGTTCTTCCCTGCAGCTGTGAGGAAAAGGGGCTGGTGGTGAAGGCAAAAGGGACGAACACCTCGGATGTGATCTGTGGTAAGTGCCCGGTGCCCTGGGCTGGGCCAGTGCAGAGCAGAGATCTCCTGGTGCTCCAGCTCCTGCAGCGCTCAGAGGAGCTGGCCTGGCCTGTGGGTGTTTTTGGGAGAGGAGGGTCTGACCGCACTGCTGGCATGGTGCCTTCCTGCTCCTCTCTGTCCCCATGAGGGATCCCTGTGGGACTGGGCCTGGAGCAGAGAAGCAGCTTGGGGCACTCGGTGTCTTGGTGGGAGTGTCATGTGGGTGCCTCACTGACCCCATCTCCCTCAGCAGAGTCGGGCAGGCGCTCCTCGCTATCGGTGCTGATCCCCATCACGGCCGCAGTCGTCACGTGCCTTGTGGGCATCTGCATCTACTGCCTGGTCCACACAGGTAAGGGATGCCTTGGCCAGAGGGGCCATACGGGGCTGAGGAGCTGAGCAGGGAGGGCAGCAGCAGCTCTGTCAAGAGTGGGGCAGCCCTTCTGGGGACACTGCCAGGGCGTGGCTCCCTGAGCCCATTGCCCTGCTGGGTCAGCGGGCTCTGTCGTTGGGAGGAATGTTTGCATTGCTGCAGCCCAAGCTGGGCCAGCTCTTGGAGGAAAGCACTGGTGCCCTGAGGGTCCAGCCTGGCTCCCCTGCCGTGGCCCCCCAGCCTGGCGGCAGCAGCAGACACATGAGCTGCAGGACTTGCAGTGCAGCAGCACCAGCCCTGGCTCTGACCCCCTGAGTGCTCACTGCAGGGCAGGGCAGGAGCACTCCCCTGACTGTTGCCTTCTCTGTCCTTCTTTCCATCCAGATCCCAGGCGACGGGTGCAGAAGCAGGTGAGTCTGCCCAGAGCCCTCCTCCAGCAGTGGGCTGGGGTCCCTCCTGGGCACAGCCGGGGAAGTGCCAGCAGCAGGGAGCAACAGAGCAGGGGCTGTGGCTCTGCGGAGCAGGAGGGGTGGGGGCTGTTCTAGGGCTGCCTGGCTGGGACAGGACAAGGGCTGGGGTAACCCTGGGATGCTGCTGGCAAATGCTGAGACAGGAGGGACCCAGACAGGGTGAGGCCCTACCCTGCATGGGAGTGTAGCAGGAGCCTTTGAAGGACGTGGCTGCAGAGGTGGGGGACGTACCTGCCTGCCCCTGACCCCTGCCCCTGTACAGATAGAGCCTGGGAAGCCCAGAGAGAGCCGGGAGGCCCAGCAGCCCATGGAGGTGGGGGAGGAAGCCTTCCCTGTGCAGGAGACCCTGCTCGGGGGCCAGCCCGTGGCCCAGGAGGATGGCAAGGAGAGCCGCATCTCGGAGCAGGAGAGGCTGTGAGGGCGCAGGGCACTGCCTCCAACAGTAGCACAGACCGGGGCCAGCACCATCTCTTCTGTCCCCTCTCCAGCTGGGGAGGAAATCTAGCATCTGGCCTGGCTGCAAATGATGTGACGCTGCAGTGGACCATGGCATGGCCCCCCCCCATGGGGATACCTCAGCAGTGCTTGGTCTGGCTGCCTGCCCAGGGCTGCCATAGCGGAGCAAAGCTCAGCTGCCTGCATGGGGATGCAAGAGGAGAGCCCAGTCCCACTGGAGTGCTGCAGTACAGTGCAGCGTGGCTGCTCATATGCTGACGCCCCTGGCAGAGCCTGGTGCAGGCATGGGCCAGGGCTGCTGCGGTGGAGCAGAGTACGGCTGCTCAGGTGGAGACCCTGTGGTAGACCCCCGGGGATGCCAGGACAGCGAGTACGGGCTGCTGGTGCAGGACCACCGTGGGAGAGCACAGTTCAGCCACCCGCCCAGGGAGGCTGCGGTAGCACCCAGCTGGGCCACCCGCACAAGGGCCCCGTGCTGGAGCTGGGCCAGTGGCTG